AGCAGGAAACAAACTGCAGGGATGCTAAATGATTTCTCCCCCTCCCCCCCAATACGATCAGTTTAATGGAGTTAAAATTTATAAGGGAATCTGAAATTATGGTACAATACTAGAATGTCATTTGTGTTTTGTTTTTGTTTAGACTCTCAGGCATGTAGAAAAGCCTGTTATTTTTTGGTCGGATCCTGGGGAAGTGCCAAGCACCCTCCCAGCGGCGCTAGGAGCCCACAGCTCTCCCCAGAGGCTCGTGTTGTTAAGGGCACTCAAAAAATCTATTGCTCAGTTCCATGGGAGAGGATTTAATCTCTGTCTAGTTTCTTTTTCCTTTCATTTTCCTCTTTTCCTATTATCCTCCCTTGTGTCTGAGGCTGCTTCCCAAGGGCCTTACAGACATCTACAGTCTGGTAGCAAGGTTGCCTGCAGAGCTTGGAATCGGCAGCTGTAATGGGTACGGTGAGGCATTTTGGGCATGGTATCTTGGTCTCTGGGTTTCTTTGCCCTTCTGGCCATTCTAGTGGTGCAGCTCCTCATTTTCTCTGTTGTTGCGGTCTCCTCTGCTCCATTTGAAACTTTTTCCCCACACTTCTAAGTCCCATCACTTGGTTTTGTGCTGAATCTTCTCCGTAGCCCTCCACTCTCATAACCTTTGAAGCTGTTTTTTGAGGGCGGGGGCTGTACTATTGAAACCCTCAGGTACTCTTGGCTTTAAGCTTAATTTGCTCATAGAGTCCCTCAGCAGGGATTGTGGGGGCAGGTAGGTGTGCATTAGGTACCTCGCGTGCCTCAGGTGGTGGCTTCTTGTGCCACAAGTTCACAAACATGGGTGCAGAAGCTAAAAGAATGTGGCACGTGTAGCTGCAAGTCAACCTTGGCTGTCTGGTGCACAAGAAAGCCAGGTTCCCCAGAGCAGCAGTGCTGTGCAGGGGAGGAGCAGGGGGCTTGGTGAACACTTGCTTAAGCACAGTTTTAAATATATGCTATCTTTTCTGTCAGAGGAGGTTCACTGCCCCCCTCATTGCGCTGGTGACTGAGTACCTGGCAATTTTCAGTCCTTCCTGCAGCCTTTGGAGTTAGGACAGTGCTGTAATTCTGATTTTTATTAGGGGAGAGGAGGTGCAGGTGGCTGAGGGTTTTGCATTTCTTGTGTGAGAGATTTCTGAAGAAGTAGATCACTGTGTCAGCCTGTGTTGTTTTACTTCTCTGCACAAAGCCCCTACCCCTTTCTTCACATCCTGGGGAACTGGTCCCTGAGGCTTTTTGTTGACAGCTTTGCTGCTTCCTACACTCTATCAGTTGTTATTTGTTTCTGGATGATACTTTGTTTATTTGTTTGGGGGCTTTTTTTTTTTCTGGATTGTTCTTTGTTTTTTTTGTTGGGGGCTTTTTTTTTTTTTTTTTTAGCTGCTTGCACTCATACTGGATCACACCTTACTCCACAGCTAGTGGGAGTTGAGTTTTGACTCGCTGTGTGTAGGTGGGTAAGAATCTGGCCCTTGTGTAATATGCTGGGGATAGAGACTGTGCTTTCTGCGTCAAGCCTTGTAGTGCCAGGGAGCTCTGTTCATGGCTCAGGACTTGGCTTTGCTTCATATAGTACAAATGCACA